CAAAATTAGAGAGGAAGCTATTGTGGAAAGTAATTTTTTTATTTAATTTTTTTTTAAAGTAGCTGAAAATTAGTGTCCAAATATTAATTATAATTACAATTTAAAATGTAAAGTATTAAGAAAGTTGTCCGAGAGGGCTTTTTTATTGTTTATTAAAACAACTTTCTTGTACAATAGATTGGGTATGCGGTTGAGTGGTCAACGGAAGAAATTCCTCCCATCTCACTCAGGCTCGAATCCCCTAACTGTCCAAAAAAAATTTCTTGTACAAAAATTAAAATATTTAGAAAGTAGTGCCAAGGCTTCGTTTGGGATAACTTTTTTATTTATTTCTAAAATAATTTTTAGTGCAAAAATTTTTAAAAACTTTTTTGAATTAAAAATTTGTATACTAAAAAGTAGTTTAAAAAAGCAATAAGAAAGCTGTCCCAAATGAAACCTAAATCTCTTTGTTTCACATTTTAATCTTTTTTTTCTTAGTAACCTTATAGATAATCCATTGTGGAATATAATTCCAGTATTTTATAGCAGGAGGTTTTGTTTGGAACAACTTTTAGAAAATACTAAGAAATCTGTAATTACAAACGAAATCAAAGATAACAGTAATTAAGCAAAATTTAAGTGAAGTTATGTTAATACTAAAATAAGTATCATAATTAGGTTTATGATAAAGCTACTGCATGCATTATAATACAATATATAAGGATACATAGTTATATTTAATTAATAATACAATTAAACAAAATGACATATTCTAAAAATGGCAGATATATATTACTTAAAGGTGAAAAGGTTCATAATTTTTTTTGGTGGGAGTTTGAATCTTAAGATTTGTGTTGGGATAAATACAAATTTAAATATAATATTGGACCATATTTAATTTCATATTTTTAATCAACTAAAAATTAACTTTGAGTCAACTCAACATCAATTTTTAGTCAGCTTAAATAGAATGATTTTACTAAACTATTTTTATATTGGAAGCCATGATTTATCATACGTATTTTATAGAGATATAAAATGATTAATTTTAAATCAAAAAATTCTAATGATGAAGATATTCTCCCGTAAATTTTATCTTTTTTATTTCATAAGTAGAATATTGTAAATTTATGTTATTTTCGCCCCTTTTTTTTAATGTTGAATAATGTTGTTTATTTGATAAAACATAGGATAATTGAACTATAAATAATTTTGAAGCAAGACATGCATATACTTGTGAATGTAGATTAAGGCTTCATTTGAGATGAATTTAATTTGTGGAAATCCAAGA